GTTTCGATTTATCTCCTTCAATCATTTTATAACTCATGACCACCATAAACCTACTCTTCGAAACAAACAAATAAAAAGTGAGATCGAGAGTCAAAGTGGCCGAACAAGCCTCATTGTAACTTTCCTTCCTTGTCTATCTTTGTTCTTTTTCCTCTTTACGTATAGGAACCAAACTCGTGATACAAATAAAGTTTAGAATAAAAATAAAAGTATTCAAAAAATTAAGAATCAAAATATAATATTTGAAAAAACTTGCATAGAAGATAGCATCAAAATAATAACAATACCACGACATACAAAACATTTACAATTAACGAGTCCACAACATAAATGGTATTAGCACAAGGATTATTGCATCAAATATTCTTTTACTTTTTTTATTTTCTTTATTTGGCTTTTGTATTTTTTTTATTCATCATATTTTTCGTACTCTTTAATTTTCTTTAATGTAGTTTTCCTAATCGTTTTCTATCCAATTTTTTAATCAAAACTAACGAGTTGGCATTAAAAAATTCACATACCATGACCCGTAATATTTTTCTCTATGTAGAAAAAAATTTTCTCTCCCCCATCGTGTCGGTGTAGGATTAAAGATCAAGTCTACGATTTGAGTCAAATTGACCTTCCCTCTCATCCTATCACTAGTTTTTAATTGTGTATCATCTCCTACCACTAGTTTACCTTTCCTTGTGAGAATGTTATTCGCCATTTATAGTTATAGTGAGACATAGGTTCCTAATCAACTTATCAGCAATGTTTGAATGTTAAAATCAATAGCCTAAGATTGTCTTATCCTTGGTAGTAAATGAGAGGAAAAAGTAGAGATTTTCATGGATAAGACTTAGTGCAAGGCATCTAGATAGTGCATCGACTATCATATTCTCCTTACCCTTTTTGTATAATATTTCATAATCAAATCCAAATTGCTTGGCTAACCAATTGTGTTGACTAGTGGTAAAGAGTTTCGCTTTAATAGGTACTTCAAGTTATGGTGTTTAGTCTTTATTTTGAAATTTCTAAAGTCTAGATAATGCCTTTATTGTTTGGTCGCATGCGAATTGCCAACGAGTTCCCTTTCATAGGTCGAAATGACTTGGTGTCTAAGAGATAGAGCCTTATTGATATAAGTAACGAGGTGACCCTATTGTGTAAAAATTACCCAAATTCTCATATTTGAAGCATCAATCTCGATAGTAAACTCCTTTATAAGATTCGATAAGGCCAATATCGATGAAGTAGTCATAGCCTTTTTAAGTTTGTTAAAGGCTTCGATAACTTGGTCTATCTATAGAAAGTTATCCATCCTTAACAAATTTGTCAAGGGTTTACCGAGTACTCTATATCCCTTAATAAATCTACTATACTATCCAATCAAACTTAAAATTCTCCTCAATTGTTTCGATTTTTAAGAATTAGCCAATTAACTACGACTTGAATTTTCTTAGGATCGGTAGAGACACTTTCAGTCGAGATGTAGTGCCCTAAGTACTCAACATTAGCACTACAAAAAACACATTTATTAAGATTAAAAAATAATTTTTATTGTTACGAGTAGGGTCGAACTTCTTTTTAAGTGGGTCAAATAGTCCTCCATAGTGTTGTTGTATATTAAGATGTCTTAAAAAAAACCAACACAAACTTTCTCAAGTGTACTCTAAATATTTCTTTCATTAGGCTTTGAAAGATGGTAAGGGCATCGATAAAGCCAAAATGGATCACCAAGAACTCATAGTGACTCGTTATGGATTTTAAAGGCTATTTTAAATATGTTAGATAGGTACATCTTAATCGATGGTACCTTGACCTAAAGTCAATCTTGGAATAAACGAGTAGTCCCATGTGATTCTTCTAGCAATTCATCAATGAGAGGGATAGGAAACTGATCTTTGATTGTAATGTTATTTAAATTTTTATAATCAACACATAGCCTTCATGAACCTTTTTTTCTTAACCTGGACCATTGGGGAAGCAACAAGACTTATACTATGCTAGATAATGCTTGTGGTAAGCATCTTTTCTACCATTTACTCTAGCACATCTTTTTGCGGACTCGACTGATGATATGGCCTTTTATTGACGAGGTTACATTCATTCTCATAAAAAAATCCTATAAGTATGGGATCTAGTTGGTGGCGGGGTTTTAGGCTCGGAAAACACGATGCCAAATAAAGCTAGAAGAGCAACGAGTAGAGCGATAAACCGTTTGTTACGGACATAGAAGAACCAAAGGGTCTTTTTCTCTATGTTGAGCAAGCTCTACCGGTACAATGCTACAAAGATATGCTTGTACTACTTAAGTAAATTGCTCTAATAAGCTTCGTATCTTAGAATTAAAAATGGTTTGTAGCTTAGTATTAGGGTGACTGACCAATTTTATTTCTTTTCCTTCCATTTTAAAACTCATCTACATCTTCTTATAATTAGACATAATATTTCCAAGTTGTAATAGCCATTATGCCCCTAAAACCATGTTATTGTTGTAGAGTTCCATCACCAACACATTTGTACGGAATCGAACCTCGTACATAACCCATTAAAATCCTTTGTAAAATGATGTGCATAGCATTGTATTACCATTTCCAACCCCCACAATTAGAGGCTTGATAGGTGACAACCCATATCCTAACTTGTTGGTTGTAGCTAGGTTTAAGAAGTTGTGAGTAGACCTAGAGTCTATAAAGATATATAGCTTACTGGTGTTCTTATACCCTACCATTCTAAGAATTCTAAACCCACTCCAACCTTTCAAGGTATTTACATAGATATGTGCGTTGAGTTTCTTTTGGTTTTCCTCAATAGGTTGTGCTTTTCTATCTCTTTTAACTCTTCTATCTCTTTATCTTTTATCTCCATAGAATGAAGCTTTCTCTACCTACATCTATAACCTGATGCATAGGTATAAACACACTAAAAACATTGATTTTTTATCCTTTTTTCCTCGAACTCCTTATTGGTTAAAGTCCTTGGTTGGTAGGATTTGGTATTCTGGTTATATGTGTTTGTTTTTGGGTTTTGTTAGATAAATATGTTGGTGTTAGGTGGGTTATAATTTGATTTTAGGTGTTTGGTTAAATGTATTAAATAATGGCTAGGGTCTATTTTGGTAAATGGTAGTGCTTTTGAGTGGTGCCTTTTGAGGTAAGTGTTAATAGAGTCTTATTTTTGAGCTAAGTCATAAGCTCTAGTTAGTGTTTGGGGTTCAAACATGAAGACTAGACATTGAACATCTTCCTTTAGTCTAGCCAAAAACATACTTAGGCTTATTGGTCATTGATTGCAGCCTATTTCACAAGATATCAAATTCATATATGTATGTTTCTACATCAGATGTTTGTGTGAGATTCTTAAATTGACCAAATGAGTCTAACTTTGTACCAAACCTGTTAGTCATTGGAGATACATACTCATTACAGGGTAGCTTCCCTAAGCTTTGAGTGCAGGTCTGATGCTAGTATAATGTCTTACCATCCAAAAATAAAGAAGCTTATTAAACCTTTTCAAACTCCTCCATTAGCTCAATCTCAAATAACTGATTACCCTTAAATAACCATTTGTTGATATCTTTTTCTTCAAAAATTGAAAAATCTCTCTTGGACTTTCTGGGTTTACAATAGTAAGTGGTGTCTAGATATCGGTTATTAGATGTGCAGTGTTTATTTTGGTGGGTCTATGGAGATGGACGTAACATGTGTGTAATGGGTACGGGTAATAGAGGTTCTGTTAGTATGGGTATAGGTGTGGATTGAACACTGTGGTGAAGGGATGGTGGCAGACTAACAAAGCTGGATGAAGGTGTAATTGGGGTTGCTTGTCTTGTGGTGAATGAAGAGACCATGAGGGCATTGAGTAAGTCGTTTAGTTCAGCAAATCCCCCTTCCTGCTGCTTCTGGATTATTTCTCATTTTTCAGAATGGTCTTGAATACTTTTGGTTACCTCTTTCATTTTTTCATTAGTTTCTTGGCCTAGTATCCTCATTAATTCTTCTAACTTATGTAAGTTATACATCTGAGTATTTTTTTACCAGGAAAATTGGAGGGAGAAAGAGTAAAGAGGGAGAGAGAAAAGAAGAAGAAGACGAGAGGAAAAGAGAAAGGATGAGAGATGACAAATTTGTTATGAAATTCTGAAAGTGACATTCCCTTTTGTTTGTTCGTTATATTGTAAAGATAAGAAAAACTAACAACTGTTTACAAAGCAAACAAAATAATACCTTTTAGGTATCAAAAACCAACTAAAACTCTATAATATCGAGGCTTATTATAACCAGTCCAGAGGCCAAAAAAGGCCAAGTTCAGCCTACCCAGTTGCTTAAGCACTTCTCACGTATTATTTGAAAATCTCCAATTTAGTTGGGAATTTTGTTGTCCGTTTCTTCTCCACCCAATTCATTGTGTTTCTTTTACTCCCTCACTTTCTCTGCATGTATCAATTTGATATTGTTTTATTTGTTGGTATCTACATCTCTGTTGTCATTGTTGTTCTAGAGAAGCATTGCAATTATGGCATTCATGATCTGGTTCAAATTAAAAAGCTGTTATTTTGATATTGTCAAATTATGTAGAATTGAGTTTCGATACTGGGTTAATTGAAACAGTAGATAAAAAAGAGACGAAATGAAATAATTTTTGTTGTTTTTTCCATGGAAAAAAAATAAGGTGTCATATAACGTGAATATTTTGATTTTTTTTTTTTGCGTGTTTTAATTTTTGTTGTTTTGATTGAAAAATTAGTTTAAAAAAAAACTAAAAGGGCTATATTAAAATAAATTAAAAAATGCAAAGAGGAATTGAATAAAAAACACAAATATTACATTAAAAAATATTTAAAAAAACCAGAAAAATAGCGTGACTAATCCATTAATATAAAGTAGGAGGTACAATATACGGAAAGTGTGTATTTATTTATTCTAGTTTTAGTTGTAATACTTCTTTGTATACAAGGATTTGAATTTTCCAAGCGCTAATCTATAGAAGATGGTATCTATCACTGCATCATGTTCTTACCGTAACCACCATGTATCACGGTCGCTTGAAGCGAAAGAACAATACTTGAAGACTAGCACTTCCATCCCAAGCTCTGTGATAGCTCTACGAGGACCTAGGAAATCACGACAAAGGGGACAAGTAGCTCGTCCAAATCCAGCCCATCTGTCTAAGCAAGCTCTGTGGAAGAGATGGTCACATCTCAATTCTCTAATCTCTTCTCCTTCTTCAATCTTGCATAAACAGACAGCACATTCTATTGATTCCGTGCACCCCGGAGCTGGATTGAACTCATACTTGTCTAGGCATAGCACTTCACCACTTTCTGGCATGCCAAAATGTTGGTTTTGAAAGAAAGAATTGTGAAGCAAGAAATTCAGAGCCCATTTCAAATGGGCAAAGATCAAATATAAGTATCTCAACATGATTGCTTGGGGAATAGATGAGGTAGGAGAAGTAGGTAAGAAAAATGAAGAATCTGAAGGGAAAATCGTTTGATTAGTATTATGGTGAGAGAGCAAGCAAATTAGTAGTCTATATCAGAGTATTGGCCGCAGATGGAGGAGGGTATTTATAGATGGTCCCAGGCGATGGAGCAGTTTAAGCAACTTCGCGTATGACTTGTCAGTAGTCTCGCCAAAAAAGATAATTTACCGAGGGGATGACTGGTGCGCAGTTTAAGGTCATTATAACTTTTCGTTTAATGATAACTCAGTCCCTGTAATGTATCTAAAATAATTAATTAGTCCAATAGTATTAAAAGCAATTAAATAGTACCGATATTGACCGTTCTATACGCTAATTTTTTGTTCCGAAAATATTTTAATATTTCCTAATAAAATTTTATGAATTTATATTATTTGATGTTCTTGAGAACATGATGCAATGTGTTTGCAAAATCTTAATGATTGAAATTCAAATCAACTATTATATTTTATCTTGAATCAAATAACTTGCCAATTATATTTTTTTGAATAACTACCTATTATTCATGCATAATTCAAAACCTAACCATGGATTTGAATTCGAGTGTCAGAATTTTAGAAATATAATTTGTCATGTTTTAAAAAACACGGTAGTATCTCAATCCAAATTTTTCTACCACTCATATTTCTGCTTTTTAATTCTAAATTTTTTAAAATGAAATCAATTGGAAAGAACATGGAATTAGATTAAAAATTACTCATGAATTTAAAATTATAGGGAATAAATAATAGTTTTTTAACCCTCGAGAAGTAATTTAGTGCTCTAGTAACTTTATTAAACTACGGGGACTAGGGTCCCCCGATTGAACGTGTTTCACACGTCCATATTTGTGATCACAATTATGTTGGAAGTACTGTCGTGCGTTTCGCCGTGTTTCACGTGTTTCATCTCTTTGATTGCCTGTCCGCCGAGCTAGAAACCAGTAGGTCACGGACTGCTACCTGTGGCTGGTCCTCTTTTCTTCTGGGTTGAAATAGATAAAGACCTTTTATTTTAGCAGAAGTAAGTAATGTTAATCTTATTGAAATTTTTTGTGAAAGTTCATTTTCCAAAAAATCTCCATCATTAAAGACTTGTATTTAGATGTAAGAGATGATGTGATGGAAAAAAGGATTTGTACAAGTCATCCCACACGTATTGAAACTTAAAATTTATAAATAAAAATTAATACTATAGAGTATTATGAAATAATTTAGCTTTTGTTTGATGACATGAATAAAACTTTTTATAGTTTAATGCATGGTGCGTATTCGGCAATGGTCGTTCAAATAATATGTAGTATAAAATTCAACCTTCTCTAAAAGATCTATCAGATACAGAAAGCTGTCTAACCAGTACCTAAAAGGTCTATTGTTTTTTATTTTTTCTCTATTAAAAAACAATTTTGTGTTGATTTCATAATCTTTTGTTCTGGATAATAAAAATTTAATGATTTTTAATGCATGGTGCATGTTCATTCAATGATTGTTGCATTACAAAAAATATTCAACAACCGACATAGAGTTATTGACATACGGCAACAAATTAACTAATGAATAACGATTATTATTAATTTTTAAATATCTTGAATTAATATATAATGAAAGAATATAGATGAATGTATGATAAAAATTCAATGATAAAATACTGTCGTCGTTTAATTACATGATAAATTTTTATTGATTAAATCAATAACAAATTACCAACTAATTTACATCAGTATTTTGCCACAAATGATTGAAATCACGCAGGAGAAATACAAGCCTCAACAGATAATAGCGTTGCAGGCATGAGTATTGCTACTAGAGGAAAAAATGAATAGTCTGCTACTAGCCAAAGCAATGGTCATGATGGCGAATCCATGACTTGGATTATGGCAGAATTAAGAACTATTATTGGGAAGCCTTCTGACAAGATGGATTCTACAAATGAGGAATTAAAACAAGTAGGCGAAGCAAACAATATTCTATCTTTAGTGTTTCTCTGCAAACATTAAATAATATCTGTGTTTCAAATGAACAATGCATGAAACATATGCAGCAAAATAAAACTCCTCATGGATTAAATAACAATATCCCTCTAAAAACGAGTAATCATAATATCGCGAACATTTCTTGCGAATTTGAAGATTTACCAGTGAGGCAACATGATAATAGAGTGCCTATAACAACAATGGATCAAAACACCATGACAAACCTACCTTTAGGGTATCCGCTACGTGAAATCAGCCCTAATTCCTAGGGTTAATGGCGTTGGAACTGATGGGCTAAATAAAATTTTTTTCCTTGCCCCATCAATTCTGTCTCTGAATCAGAGGTCTAATTTTCCTGTGTTCCAAGTGAACCAAGAAGTTACTCAGCAATTTCCTAGAATTTTGTACCACAAGATGTGAAATTAAACAGGTTATGAAACTAATTATTAGAAGAATTGAAAAAATAGTTAGGATTAGATCGTCCAATGGCAAGATTAAACCATAATTAACCATACCCGGATTGGATAGACCAAGCCTATCCTTTTCCAAGAGGGTTTAGATGCCCTAAATTCGCTATATTTTTTGACAAAAAATGGACAATCAACTATTGAGCAACAAGAAAAATTTGCCATACAACGTGGCGATGTAAATGACTATGTTAAACTTTGTTTGTTTAGTAATTGTTGTGACATATTTTTGGTACATGAGTTTGCCACTGCTGAATTCAAGTAAGAATTGGCAACGATTAAAAAAGTTATTTTATTCTTAATTTTTCCAAATTGACAATAGAGTGTCTCCTCACACCTTGGCTGAATATTTTCAAGCCTTAGTGGCTGAAATATTGAGCCTATCTATCTTATTTATTTGATTCCATTTTGAGTGTGAATTATTATTTATTTGGATATTTTAATGTTAGGACCTGGACTAATTTATTTAGTCTTCATGGATTATGAATTCCTAGCTAATTTTAGAAGGGTTGGCTAAACAGACCACAGTTGGATATTAGGGTTTGGATGCTTGTGTCTTATGAATCCATGTTTATTTAGAGTCCTTATTTAGTATGGAATCTTAATTATTTTAGAAGTTTATGTATAATGTGGATCTTTATTTAATATGAACTAATTTAATTATGTCTTTATTGAATATGCATTACATTAAGTCCAACTAACTTAATTTATGCTTCTTCTTTTTTATAAGAATTCAGACTTTTGATATTGAAATTGAATAAACATTGGTGAGAGACTTTTTTCTACAAAAATTACATTCATTGCGTAATATAGAACATGGTTTCAGTATCTTTAGAGTGATCAACTAATTAAGGTGGTGTCTTGATTATATGCAATAATTTTTTTAAAGTGGCGTATCTACATCTTTAAAGTTTTGACATATATATCCCTACATAAGTGCAGATAATCTACATAGCTAGGTAAATCTTACGCCTTTATTTTATTGTGTTTTGAATTTGTATTTATTGTTGGATTAACACATTACAAGTCTTGGATTATTGGTTTGAAGAATTAGAGTTTTTGGTTTACCTTTGCTATTGTTTGTGAGTTTCGGCCAAGATCAAACAAATGGGTAAAGGTTTCGGTTTGCTCTATATTTTTTGACCAAGTATTCTATTTGACCTAATTAGCTTTTAGTTAAATTTCTAGAATTAATTGGGTTTCTCTATAATTTCGACCAAGTGTTCTATTAGACCTAATTAGCTTTTAGTTACATTTTTAGAATTAACAGACAAGTGCAGCCTGTTGTTCGGCTAGCACTAGAGTTTTGAGTTTGTATTTTGTTTCTTGGGGGTTGGTTTCGCCTTGTGTTGCTTTGAATTAGTTTTGGTTTTGTGTGTGATTGAGGCTTGCTATTTGTTGAATTGTTGCTCGTGAATTTTGGCTTCGTAGTTCTTTTTGATTGTGCTCTATAGATTAGTATCATCTTCACTTAACTGGCATCACGAATGCAATTGTTCAATTGACCTCAAGTGTTAAAATGATTCATTCTTTACTAAAAGAATTAGTAATGGTTGTATGTTGCGATTTTATGTCAATATTGGCATTGAAAGAGGTCACGATAAATGAGATTGATATTTTTGACTGTATACTGAATTATTTGAATGATTAACAAAAAGAGATATTAACTATGAAAGTTTCCAGGAAGTTAAAATTGAAGGCTTTAAATTTTTTTTGATAAATAATGATCTCTTTTGTCTATATTGAAATATCTAGGCCCACATGACGCACCGAAGCCAATAGGAGAAGTGCTCGAAAATATTTGTGGTGGTCATCCATCAAGGTAAATGATTAATAACCAGATTAGAAACTATAATTTATTTTGGCCAAAAATGAGAAATGATTGTATGGACTTTTCTAAAGAATGCGAAGCTTGCCAAAAGCATGGTCCAATTTAAGTATTATAGCAAGTGACATTCTATTGTGAAACCTTAGCCATTTAGAGAATGATAGATTAATTTAATAGAAATGATTTATCCACCATCAACAAAGCAGCATACTTTTATTTTACTCATAACGGATTATTTCACTAAATGGATTGAAATAATCCAATTGAAAGTAATGACTAAAGAATTAGTTATACAATTCATTAAGGAGAATATTGTGAATAGGTTTGGAATTCCTTAAACCATTATTTCAGACCAAGGATAATTTTTTTACTGGAGAAAAAATTAAGTAGTTTGCATCCAATTTACATATTAAATAGTAACATTTAACTCTTTACTATGCACAAATGAATGGTCAAGCTACAGCAAGGAATAAGGTCGTGGTAAAAATCTTGAAGAAAATAATTAAGGATAAACGCAGAACATGGCATGAACATTTTGGCGAAGCATTACGGGCATATAGGACTTCTCAAAGACCTAGTAACATCATTTCTCTATTCATGCGAATACGGTCGGACAAGAAGTTGAATGATAGTACTCTCATTTTCCTATTCGATTTGAAAAAAAGTAATATATATATATATATATATATATATATATATATATATATATATATATATAAACAAAGCTAATGTTAGTGTAAGTATCCAAAATCCAACATTTTTAAATGATTTGAATATTATATTATTACATATTTAATAATAAAGAAGTTTTTCTATTATTCATATTATTTATAACTTGATTGAATTGGATAGAAGTCCACATGATGTTCATTACTTTGATGATTGATCAATAGATGTGAGACAAATATTAATGCACTTAAATGAGATCATTAAATGTTCCAAGTCATAACATTGTCAAAATTGGATATTGACAATATACGTAAGACTTACTTGTGTTATGCTCTTGCTATATGATCACGATAGGAGATCTCACACCCATTAACATGGTAATGCCTAAGCTAGCGAGATAAGTGAATAATATTAGAAAACATATCATTGGATGTGACTCGTCATGAAAACTTATTTAACATAATCTATGAGAATCTCATACTAGATAGGTATAAGTAATTATTTGACTTGAAATTATCATGGTTATCTCATTAGAAGATAGGTCTCCTTTGACATTCATTACGATGGGCTCAATAAAGACCTACATGTGGATGAATCATTGAGTACATCGGGAATCTAACGGAGATAGGTGGATAATTGAGATAAGACATGTCATTCCTCATATGCTAAATGAGTTATCACATTGCATTTCGATGAATGTCTATTCAAAAATCCGTGATCATAGTGAATATATACCAATAGAGCATGATTAATTTATTTGAGAGGTGAGATATTCAAAGATAGAAGAAAAACTATGTGATCATAATCGAATAAATAACAAATTAAGTTCAAGATCATATTGTAATAAATTGACACGATGACTAAATTGTATAGAAACCATACTCGTGAAAGGCCATTGTGAGCTAAGTAATCCTTCTTGATAATTGGGTATTTATGATGTCTTACTAAAGGTCAATCTTGATGTATGTATCAAGAGATAAAAAAATTTTCTTTTACTTTTCAATACATTACCAATATATCTAGAAGCCTATTAAGTTACACACATAATTTTGACATTAACTCAAGTAAAGAGAAGCGAAGAATTATAATAGAAACCGAGAATTGAAATAATTGATTTTAACTCTTTAAAGCACTAAAAGAATTTTGGACATAGTTTCTTAAATTGAATTTCTTATAATTTAGGAAATAGTTTCTTAAATCAATTTTCCTAAAATATTAAGAAATAGTTTCCTAATTTGAGTTTCCTAATCTGATAGGGGTAACTAAGAAAATAGGTTTCTAAATTAGGTCTTCCTAAAATACCCGACCCAACTTATTTCGATGGTCAATTTAATTGCCGATTCCTTGGGCTAAAGATGTTTCGGTTAATAGGCTTAACCGAAAGCTCGTAAGGAGTATTTTAAGTTGAGGGATATTTTTGAGAACTTATAGAGAAAAGTTCATTAAACTTAATACGAGGGATTATAAATAGAAAAAGATGCACCAAGACAAATAATTCATTACATAGAGAATTTGTCGAAATTCCCATAAAGAGGGAGAGAGAAAGAGGCACGTAATCTTTTTTATAGAAAGAAAATTGGACAACCTTCCTTACAAAAAGAACTTGGTGTTAGATCTTCCTAGTATAAAGAATTTGGAGTTAGAACTCTTAATCTTCCGTCGCTTTTTGTATTGGTATCTATGCTCGTATGGATTTTTACAAGAGGTCGAACGCTTGGATGATTCAATTCGATACTTTGATGCTATACTTCAAGAGGTAATGATGTAAACATCCGTTAATATTATTAATGAATTCAACAATGATCTTGGGAGTTTAGATGGAGGCAAACAAACTTTTATTGTTTATTCCGCATCTCTATAGGATCTTTTTCCTTCAACTCCTAAGTTAGTTTGATTTAAAGAAGAAAAGAATTTAGGTAAGTAAATAAAGGATTAAAGGTCTAGGATGTCCTTTTATTGTCTTATTTTTCATAATCGTGTCTCTCTATTAATTTTTTTAATAATCGTGTCCCTCTACTCTTAATTTGTGTCTTAATTTCATCCATCCGCCCGCATTTTCGAGTAATCGCATCGGTTTTTTATGACAACCTCACAAAATGTTGACACATAACTTTTTTCATTAAAGAATTCTAAAAAAAATTAAAAAATCTGAAAAAAATTTCCAAAATGCCCCCCTTTTCTACCTTTATGTATAGAAATAAATAATTAATTTAATCCCTTAATTTTTTTTTGCTTTCTCTCAAATCCAAACCAAAAAATAAAATTTTTTATGTATAGGAAAGAATAGAGGCAATTTTTTTTTATTTTAGAAATTTATTATGAAAATTTATTTCAAATCCAAACTCAAAAAAAAAAAAAAAGAAATATTTTTCATAACATGAGAATAAAATCAAAAGGCGAGATAAAAAGAAGAGCATTTTAGGATTTTATAATTATTTTTATGTATAGGAAAGAATCGAAATAATTTTTTTTATTTCAAAAATTTATTATGAAAATTTATTTCAAATCCAAAACCACATGAAATAAGAATAAAAGAAAAAAGCAAATTAAACAAAAGGACATTTTAGGGTTTTTTTAATTTTTTTTTCAGAATTTGAAAGAAAGAAAGAAAAAATTGACAGATAAAATTAATTATTTATTTCTATACCTAAAGGTAGAGAAAAAAGAGAGGATTTTGGATTTCTTTTTTAGATTTTTTAATTTTTTTTAAATGTCATGTGGCAGCATCTTGTGAATCTGTCATCGAAAATTAATACAATTATCAAAAAAGTTGGTTGGAGGAATAAAATTAAAGTGCAAATTAAGAGTAGAGGAATTAGATTATTGTAAAAATAAGTAGAAGGACACGGTTTAAAACAAATAAAAGATTAGAGAGATATCCTAAACCTTTACCCATATATAAATGGTAATCATTGGTACATATACTATAAAATAAAAAATTGTTATATATGTTTGTATAAAATTTTTCTTACATAGAACTATTACTCTAAAAAAACCTGTTGAGGTTTTAGATTCCATCATCATTACCTGTCGCAGCTAGGTGCCTGCGCATGCAGGGTTAATTACTCTATTTCTTCACTCAAACAATCAATAAATTCACTTAATTGGCACCTCTGTGTGGTAACTTGGTAAGGTACAATCGTTACATTCCTATTTTATAGCTTAATTTGAGAAAGAAAAAAAAATATTTGCTAAAATAAAAACTATTCGTAAGATGAGGCTATAGGTGAATCAATGTCATGCCATAATAATTAAGATATAGGAAATCAAGTAGTGTCTCGGGTGTCCATAATTAGACAATTACAATCTTGATAGTTTATGAGAAGAAAATTTCTATAATTTTAACAGAATGCCAAAGAAAAACATCTTAATTGTGTTGGCAAATATATATATATATATATATATATATATATATATGTTAGGTCGACAGTCTCTTATAGCACTGAGCAAGGCAAATTATCCCAGTCCATACAAGAAATCTATGTCTAATGGAAAAAAAATTATAAAGAATATAGGAAAATAAAAAAGAAAATCACACACCAACTTTAATATAATAAATATTTATATGATTTGATTTAAGTGGATGCTACATCGAGTGATGCGTACTATTAAATTTAGTTTTTATTAAATTTTAGAATTTAAATTTAATTGCTTGCATTAAACAAGCAGACTCAATTATATTACAGCTCACGGTAGAGGATTCCGACCTTATCGGTGACATCAAATGAATTTTTTTAGACATTACAGATTAGGGTAGGGTACATTATTTATGTGCAAAATCCATTTACGTATACCTGTGACGTGTGACTTCGGATATATACAACAACCACACATTTTAAGTATTTTAGGGGGAAAAAATTGATATACCAAAATGAAAACCTTGTGTTCCTCATGGGCGGGTTTCGGCGATCATCGATGGGGTAGCTCTTGGCTGGTAAAAATTATCCCAACAGGTGTAAACTAAGCTCCCTTTCAAACGCTAAATCAAAAACCTTATGCGTTGACGTTGATATGGACCGGCAGATTAATATGAAGAAATTTGTTACTAATAATTGGTCATTGCTGATTTATATTGGAAGTCAGTGGAAGTCGAGACGATTCAGCTACTAATGTATGTAGTTTCTCTGAACACGGAAGAAATATTGAAAAATATCTCAGAAATGACCAAGCTTTATTCGTAATTTATGGGCCAGGTACTTGACTTTTAGCCCAAGTATCAAATTATGGACCTGCCTTTCTAAAAGACTTGACTTAAGATTAGACTCGTGGGAAGCTCGTAGCTTCATGCTCGATTCGATGGCAGCAAATGACTAGATTTTAT